TAACCCATGATCACAATGACTTTCTATTTTCATTCTATAATTTTTAGTTTTGAGTTTTACATTTATGACTATAGTCCATTTTTATCTAATTCTAGTCATATATCCAAGTCTGTTGTTTAGCGTGTATGTTTCCAACCATTTCGGCAGCATTTGTTAAGAAAACCTATCCTTTCTTCATTCACTATGTTGCCGTTAGAGCTTAGAAATAGTATCAATTACGACATATGTGTGAATCAATTGCTAGACTCTATTTGATTCCTTTAATCAATACATCTATCATTACACCAATGCCACATTTTCTTGATTAATATAGCTTTACAATAAGTGTGGATGATTTAAGATAAGCCCTCCAACCTTGTTCTTTTGCAAGGTGTTTTATCTAGTCTACTTCCTTTTCATTTCCATATGGATTTCCAAATTGACTTGTCAATTTCTACAGTATGCCTGTTGGGATTGTGTTAAATACATGAATTGATTGGGCACAATTAATATGCTAATATAGTCTTCAACTCATAAGCAGAGTATATATTTCCATTTAGTTATGTCTTCTTTAATTTCTCTCAGAATAATATATAATTATCAGTGTATAGGTTTTGGACATCTTTTGTCATATCTGTCCCTTGGTACATCATATGTTTCACTCCATTTTCACTGGGTTTTTTTATCATTACTTTAAGTTCTGGGTTTTCCTTGTTAGTATCTAGAAATGCACATCTGGGGAAACTACACATAAATGGAATTTGCATGAAATAAATAAGATCCCAAATGTACAGGAAATGTACAGAATTGTTGGGGAAGCCGCACTGCACGTATCTCATGCATTGCCCTCTAGTCCCCACATTTATGCAGCAAAGCCACACTGCGCATGTCTCACATAGTACCCTTTATGTCCGATGTTCACGTATAAGCTCCTTACCTGTTGCTGTTTTTACTACTGGCGTTATTTTAGGACATTATTAAGCGCACAATTCAATCAGTTTTTATAGATTCACGGAGATGTGCAACTATCACCACAGTCAGCTTGGAAACATTCCATTCCTCTCCACAAAAGATACTCTTCCCTCCAGCAGTCCTCCCATTTCCCACAACCCTCGGCAGCCACCGACTTCTTTCCGTCTCACTCTTCCTTCTTGCGTCTCGGCTGCTTCAGTTTCCTTCGCCCAGGACTGTATTTTCCTCCCAGTTGGCAAATAACAAGTGTGGCATTTCAAGCCTAATGCAGAAATGGTTTCCTGCTTCCAGAGGGGAAAACACGCCAGCATTCTTTCTCTTTGAGCTGTTTTCTCTTTTAGGATGACTTCATCCCTGACAACCTGGGTAACTATTGAGACCAGTAGAGCTGAACCTCAGTTCAAAAGAATAGATCACTAAAATGTTCTGCTTAAAAATTAATCTTACAAAGCCGGGCGGTGGTGGCGCACGCCTTTAATCCCAGCACTCGGGAGGCAGAGCCAGGCGGATCTCTGTGAGTTCGAGGCCAGCCTGGGCTACCAAGTGAGTTCCAGGAAAGGCGCAAAGCTACACAGAGAAACCCTGTCTCGAAAAACCAAAAAAAAAAAAAAAAAAAAAAAAAATTAATCTTACTTCTAAGAACTGGATTTCAAAATAATTAGTGTTCAGTAAAGACATCATCTCTAAATAGAATCAATGAAGTAGATGTCACCGGCGCCAAGGCTGTAAAATAGCCTCACTGGGTCTGGGGAAATGCACGTGGGTGTATTAAGTTCTCACTGAGTGATGGAAAATGCGAAGCCAGACACTAATGATGGTAAGATTTCGCCTACTCCCCTTGTATTGATACTGCTGGATGTTTTAAAGAGTAAGATCTAGAGCTTTCCATTGATGGGTAAGTACAAAAGAAGAAGAAGAAGAGGAAGAAGGAAGAATGTTCATCAGTGTGATTAAGCCATCAGGTTTATTAATTGGCATTTATTTGGGGAATAAACAAACTTGTCAGAACCTTGAGACAAGAAGTGGCTTTGTGAAGTAGAGCATAGCATTCATCAAAACCAGAACCCTGAGCCAGCAAGATGGGCTAATAGGTAAGAGTGCTTGTTGCCAAGCCTGACAGTATGAGCTCAGTATCTGGAATCTATATGATAGGATTCAAGACATGGTTCCTACAAGTTGTCCTCCTATACCATGAACATGCCCTCACACATATGTGTGTATGCAAGTATGTCACACACACACACACACACACACACACACACACACACACACACACACTAAAAATAAGTAAATGGTACAGGCCAGTTGAGCAAGTAGGCTAACTTCAGATCTTCACTCTCTCTCCTCTCCTCCATATACAATCTCCAAGTCTCATGCCCAGCTCTCTAACAAGCTACCTGTAGTGGTCTTTCCTCACTCTCTGCCCCAAGTCCCAGAAAGCTAAGTAGATTCTGGTGGAACACCATGCTTTCCACCCTCCCGTGGACCGCCCCCCCCCACTTCTAACCCATCCCCATCCCTAACCATCAGCTTCACCTAGAAACACATTGTACCCAGAACCCCCAGTGGCCACACCTAGCAGGGTCCTAAAAGCACTTTCTACTAGGCAACACACAACCGCCAGGCTTTCCTAAGAACTAGACAGGGCAACCGAGAGCAAGGAACAAAACAGCCACTCAACAAAGACAAGACCAGATATCAGCACCTAGAATTACAATCATCCCAAACCCAGATGCCTAGACACCAGTGTAAAAAGGCAGTCAAAACAGCCAGGACAATATGCCCCCACTAGAGCCCAGCAATCCTACCACAAAAACAGTCCCAGAGCAACACAATGTAGCTAAAGCACAACACAAGGACCCTAACATCATAACCTGCATGATTATGACAAAGGTTATTTAAGAGGAAATTAATAAATCTCTTTTTTTTAAAAAAAATCTATGAAACCAAACAACCAGGGGATAGAAGTGAATAAAACAGGTCAAGACCTGAAAGTGGAAATGAATCAATAAAGAAAACCCAAACTGAAGGAAATCTGGACATGCAAAGTTTAGGAACTCAAACAGGAACCTCAGAGACAAGTCTCACCAACAAAATATAAGAGATGGAACAGAGACTCTCAGGCATTGAACACAAGATAGAAGAAATGGACACCTAGGTCAAAAATAAAAAGTTAAAATTTAAATTTCCATGTTTGAAATATCCAAGAAGTCTGGGACACTATGGAAAGACCAAAACTAAGAATAGGAATAGAGGAAAGAGAAGAAACCTAGACCAGAGGCACAGAAAATATTTTCAACAAAATCACAGAAGAAAAATTTCCTAACCTAAAGAAGAAGATACCCAGGAACAAGAAGTATACAGAACACCAAATAGACTGGACCAGAAAAGAAATTCCCCTTGGCACACAATAATCAAAACACTAAACATACATAACAAAGAGAGAATATTAAAAGCTGCAAGGAAAAAAGACCAACTGGCCTATAAACATTAGAACAACACTTGACTTCTCAGTGGAGAGTCGGAAAGTCAGAAGGGCCTGAGCAGATGTGCTGCAGACTCTAAAAGACCACAGATGCCAGCCCAGACTTCTACACACAGCAAAACTTTCAATCACAGTAGATGGAGAAAGACATTCCAAGATAAAACCAAATTTAAGTGATATCTTTATACAAACAAAGCCCCACAGAAGGTGCTAGGAGGAAAACTCCAGCCGAAAAAGGTTAAATAAATACAGGGAACAAATACTCCCAGACAAGCAAGCCAAAAGAAGGAGAAAAAGACGCACACCATGAGATAAAATAATAGGAATCAACAAACACTGCTCATCAATAATCTTAATGTCAATGGTCTCAATTCGCTGATCAAAAAAAAAAAAAAAAAAACACAGACTAACAGAACAGATATGAAAACAGGATCCCTCCTTCTGAATCCAAGAAACACATCTTAACATCAAGGATAAACATTACTTCAGGGTTAAAGGACGGAAAAAGATATTCCAAGCAAATGGACCTCAGAAGCAAGCCGATGTAGCCATTTTAACATCTGACAAAATGGGCTTCAAACAAAAACTGATCAGAAGAGCTAGGGAAGGACTCTACATACTCATCAAAGGAAAGTCCACCAAGATGACTAATCAGAAGAGCTAGGGAAGCCGGGCGGTGGTGGCGCAGGCCTTTAATCCCACCAGCACTCGGGAGGCAGAACCAGGCGGATCTCTGTGAGTTAGAGGCCAGCCTGGGCTACCAAGTGAGTTCCAGGAAAGGCGCAAAGCTACACAGAGAAACCCTGTCTCGAAAAACCAAAAAGAA